GGGGGGGTCGGTGGGCGCTCTGGAAGGTTCCGCCGGGGCAGGGGGCGGGGGAGGCGCCGCCGTGACCTTCGGGTGCCGCCGCGGCCCGGCCGTGAAGGTGACGCGGGACACGCGGGGCCTCCCCGAGGCCTCCCAGCAGCGGGCCCGGCCCGGCCCCTCGACACGCGGGGCGGCCCCGCGGGGCCGGCCCCGAGCGCGGCGCCTCGTTAATTGCGTTAATTAAACACTGGGGGTGGTTTATGGCGCGGGAGGAGGGGAGGTTCTGCCGTTCCCCGGCGCGCCGGGTCCGGTCGGGACGCGGAGCGCGGCCCGGCCCGGCCCTGGAGGTCACCGAGGAGGGCGGGCGCCGTGTCCGCTGCGGCCCGGGATGGGGCTTCACATGCTCGCGGCGATTCACGGGTTCGGTCAAGCGCTTTTAGCCTTTGCTGAACGAACCCGGGTGGCCGCCATAAACTTTGCACCGAGTTTTGTCCCAAAACGCGCGCGGAGCAAGGAGCTGCGGGGCCGGGGGAGTAACGGAGGGCGCCGGGCGGGCGCTGGGCTGTGTCTGCACGGGAGGGGAGGGTTCAGCCCGGGGGTTCTGCCCGGGGCTTTGTTCGGCTAACGGCTGAGATGCTCCTGGTGGGCTCACGCACAAACACAACATGTGCTCCGTGGTTAGGAACCTCTCAATAAAGCGGTTTAGGAGACACGTTCTATTTCTTAAGTGAATCACCTCAGTTTCCGAGCCGAATGTTCCTTGGCTTCGCGGGGAGGATTAAAAGTTGTCCTGAACACGGTGACAGGTCTGGAGAATTAGGGGTTGCAGTGTTCTGCTGGAAGAGGAACTGCTGAGGCTGATGGGAGGCACGAGCAGCTGCCTCATCCCTGGCTGAGCGTGGCGAGAGGCCCCGGGTGCATGAGGCAGGTTCTGGAATGCAGGGATGGAGATGTGGATGGGAGCTGGAGCACGTCAGGGAGCACATGGCTGCTGCTGGTGGTGTGGATGGGAGCTGGAGCTCATCAGCACTTGGAGATTTTTAGGGAGTCCTAAACCACAAACTCCCTAAAACTAACTCCCTAACTCTGATCTTTCTCTGATGGTGTTGGGAGTTTCTGTGATCTTCATTCTGGAAACCTCAATAATATTTAATTTAGAGTTCCTGAGGATCATATGGACTTTCTGAAGGTTAGGCACAGGATGGGTGGAAGTCCTGAGGTTTTTCAGGGGGATTGGCTGAGTTGCTGTAGTTGTCAGTGTTTGTTTTAGATCTACTTGAGATGTAATAAGTGTGGCCTTCGCAGTGTGTGAGGGGGAATTGGGTTTCCTTCAACATCCTTTAGTTCCAAATCTCTGCAGTGATGGCTGTGTAAGGGCTGTATAAGGCTCGTGCTGTTTCATACATTTATGTTTGGGGCAGGCCTTTTTTCTCCCTCTAAGCCAAGATCTGTGTTAACAGTTAATAATTAGGTGTGTTGGAATATTAATAAATACATCCAGAGAAATGGAATTGATAATGGCTGCTGGGCTCTACTCAGATGGGTGTGTGCTCTGAATTCCATATATTTGTAATTTCTTGGGGAAATGGGAGTCTGTGTGTTTCAGGTGGGTGAAATGCTGCCCGGGCTGCCTCCTGGTTAGAAATCCAGGATTGTGGGAAGCACTGAGCGTTGTTGGCCCTCTTGAGCACGTGAGGCTTCCTGTGACCCCTCGCTGCCCCTGTTCACACCCTCTGACACAGCTACCACCTTCAGACAGCACAGCTGTGCCTTGGCTTTTCCAAGGGGTGAAGGAGCTCAAGGGAAAACCCTGCAGCTCCTGGTGGGGTTGGGAGTTAGCAGAGCACTGAGCTGTTACCTGAAACCTGCCAGCAGCTCTGAAGGACCTCTGTGTGTTGGTTTGACACCAACCTCTCCTCATCCAGCCTCTGAGTCTGCATCAGCTCCCCTCAGAGAAGGTGGTCTGAGCCCCTCAGGGTCCCTACCTGCCTGTGCCCCAGCCAGCACAAGGCTTCTCTCAGCTGCCTCCCGGAGCTTTGCTGACCTTGGGCTTTTTCCGTCTGCTTACGTTTCCATTTCTGGAAAAGGGTTAGTTTCTCCCATCACAAGTTTGGTTTTCTTTTCTGGATTTTTTGCTTTGTTTCTGTTTCAGAGAGTTTGTCTACTCCAGGAAATCTGTTGTAAGCTCTGGGTTAGGATTTTGGTTGCAGAATAATTTGAATTAATACTAAAATTGAATGCCTTAAAACTTTTGAGTGCCTGCATTTTTGTCAGCTTAATTGAATCTGGATAAGTGTAATTTAGATGTAATTACAATAAGAAAAATATCCTTTGCCGTGTTCCAGAATGAGAATTTTCTTCAATAGCCAATTTTTAGGAGTTATTGGAGGAGGATCTTTGATCCACATTTGCTGGAAGTAGTGTGAGCGAGAGGGGAAGCTGTGCTGAGGAGGAGAGCTTTGTCAGCTCGTGGATCCCAGCGAGTGTTCCCAACCTTTGTCACTCTGTAAAGCTTTAACCTCGTCATGAAAGTTCCCGATAGCAGCTGGGAGGATCGTGCTGCAGCCAATCCCATGGGCTCGGTGTTTGTAGCCTCAGTTAAATAAGCAAGAATTGATATTTTGGCCTTCTCTTCTGAAGAGCCGCTGGCCAGGATGGAGCGATTTTGCTCGCGGAGCGCAGCGTGAATTTCCCAAAAGCTGATGTAAATTAGGGACTTTTTATCCTCTGCAGTCTGTGGGGTTTTGCTGTTGAGATGAGTGAGAGCAGGGCTGCATGCTGCTGGGCTGTTACAGCTCACTGTTTCTAGCACAAGGGGAAGTGGCTCATGCTCTGTTCCAGGTGTGTCCCAGCCATTGTGTTCACCACTTCATCAGAGCTGCTTTTAGTCCCAATCACCTCCAGAAATGCAGTAACCACAACAAAGTGTTTCAGTTTCACTTTATCACATTTATTCCTGCAAATTACTTTAGGCCTGAGCTCAGTGCTACCCTTAGAGATGTAGGTAGTGAGGCATGGTTTATTTTTAGAAAAGAATGAATCATCTCCTGGATGTGTCTTGTTTCTTTTTGCTTTGTTGAGAAGTAAGTTCAAGGAACTGCTGGCTCTGGGTCTGTGAGCAGGAGCCCATGTGGGCAGGTGATGCTGCCCCAGGAGTGACCAGAAGCTGAGCAGAACTTAGTTTGGAACTGCTGAACTGCAGTGACAGCTTGTGGTTGCAGCAGGTTACTGGGTTTTGCTTTGCAGGTTGTTTTGTTGGGGAGCAGCTCCTGTGAAATCTGCAAAGGGAAATACACGTGTGTCCTTTCACCCTGAACTATTTCCAGTTTCCAGCTCTGCTCCTGGGCAAAGATTAACGGGAGGGGAAGACACTGTTGCTATGTGGACTAAATCAGTTGTGCGTGGGGGGTTTGAATCTCAGAGCTTTGCAAAAACCGTGGTCTTTGTTTTGCTTCTCACACGGTTGTCTTGAACTTCTCCAGTTTTTGGAGGCTTCTTGTTACTGAGCTGGGGCTTGCCCTTGCAGCAAACAGCTCTGGCACGAGGTGTGACCTTGGCAGAGGAATTATCTCTAAAGCTATTGCAACTGCTTCCTTATCCTTGTGCTGTGTGTTTGAGGCCTGGTAGTGAGCCACTCCTTAACTTCAGAATCCAGGAGCCTGGCCTCCAACATGCCCAGCTTGCTTATCTGTGTGTTTGTGGATATGAGCTGGATTAATGGCTTTCACCTTTTAAAGTCCAGCAAATTGCAGCAGTGAAGTGGAGCATCGTTCAGTGGCTGGAGGAACTGTTACAGCTGCTTGTGGGGTGTTGGGATATCCCGGGGGGAGAATTTTTGCATAAAGGTAGTTTTATTCACTACCCTCTAACTATAGTTATTATTTCACTATGTGAAAGGAGCAAAAGCCATGTTTTTCCTCCCTTCTGCTGCTGGATTGTTGGATTCCTCACCCAAAATGCCTTTGAGCAGCTCTGGGAGAGGGACCTTGAAGGATTCTGTATTGTGCTGTGGGAATGAGCGTTTCTCTGTGCCAGGTGCCAGGCTGGAGTCTTGCAGTTCTTGTCTGTTTCATTTGTAACCCTTTGACTCTAATTATGGTCCTTGTTGCCGAGACCCAGAGTGAGCAGATCCTGTTCTCTCCCCAGCAGGCTGGGAAGGTGTGTAAGTTTGTCTTGTCAATTCAAAACCTTTAATCTCCTTGGTTACCAGTTTAAGGAAATCATCAGTGTCTGTTGATGTGTGTAAGATTCCTGGGGGAATGGGGTAGGGCTTGAGTAAGTTCAGGAGGAATCCTGACACAGCACAGGTGATGCTTGGTTAGTACAGATGTCACTAATTCCGTTGAGTTATACAGTTTCTTCTCCTTGACATATGTTTTTTTACCTTCCTTTCTAGGAAGGGGTCTGGAGGAGGGAAAATTTCCCTTTCTGGTGAAAGGGGACTGGAGCATTATGACAGTCAAGTCTTTAAAAGCTTATGAGTTCCCAGAGTCCTTGCCGAGTAACCGCTGCCTCCGCTGATGTTGTCGGATGTCAATAAAGAGAGGTTGAAGGCAACACTTCTCATGGAGGTAGAAACGAAATACTTGGAAAATACCAAGGATTTTCCTGTTTTCATTGATAAAAAAATCACATAGGTGCTTAATAGCTGGGTAGACACTTGAGATGTGGAACTCTAGAGACAATCACTAAATTCGCCTGTATTTTCTGGCTTGACTTCTGAGGCTGCTCTGGGTTGCTCTCGCTAACCAAAGTGTTCTGCTCTCTTCAGCAGGTAACATCAAAAGGTGCTGGCTTGAACCCCAACGCAAAAGTGTGGCAAGAAGTGCCCCAGGGCAGTGGTGAGGCCGTGCCCCCCACCAATGGCACAGAGCACACGTGGCAGGAGACAGCAGCAGCCCAGGGGACTCCAGCTGAGGGTGAGCTCTTGGGACAGGGGTTGTGACATGGCCCCGCTTGGGGGACACTCGGGGAGTTCAGCTGTGAGGAGCAGCCTCTGGCTCTTGTCCTTGAGGGTGTCAGTGCTGCTGGAGCAGTGTGTATGAAAGGAAGATGAGAAAGCAGCAGGTGCTGTGTGAGGGTGGTGGGTCTCAGCGGTGGGCTCTGGTTCAGGAAGGGCTCTGAGCTCTGCTGGAACAGGATTCAGGGGGCCCGGTGATGACCAAGTAACGCGCTAAGAGGGGAGCAGGGTGCTGAACGTGTAGAGATGGATTCATGACATTGCTGCACTTGAGCATCCACTGGACCCTGTGAACAGGAAAATGAGGTCTGAGGGCCACCTGCAATCCTGGGGGACCGAGGTGCTGCTGAGAGCTGTCAGGAGCATTTGTTCTGGAGCAGACCCTGTGCAGTACCCGTGGTTAACTCCTTTCCATTCAGGCTGTTCCCCTGCAGTCCCATTCCCATCCTTACCACACAGGCAGTGTCCAGAACTAAGGATTCCACTGGTTTCACTTGTTTGGCTCAGACTCGATCTGGGGTGTAGCTAAGGTGACTCAAAGCATGGCAGAGGATGCAGAAGATTCCCTGCAAAATGGTTTGGTAAAAGTTAGGGATAAAGAAGAGAACATTCAGCTTGTATGGCCTTGTGAAAGGTTTCTGGTAAGTCAGCAGAAGCGAGGAGAGAGCGCTGGGTTTGTGCTTTGCCCGACAGAAACTCATTTGTCTCTTCATAACAAAGTGAAGCAATTGAGGCAGTGTAAGCAATTTTCATCCCTTGTTTTCAGGAACCTCGCTTAAATATTTTAAATTTCAAGTGGGAGGACTGGTTTTTAGATTCTCTGCCACTTTGGGGATCAATTTCAGGATCCTTTATTTACTTTTATTTGCTTTTCCCTGAGAGCCTAGTGCAAACCAGATCTTCCTGAAATTGGAGAGGTAGAAGTTCTATTCAACACAAAGTCTAAGAAATACAGGCTAAGGTTAGACACTCTCAGGTACAGCTTTCCTGAGTATTTGTTTTAATGTTGGTAGCCAGAGTTTTTCAATTGGAAAATATGCTGAAGCTGACAGGAGTTTTCCTGTTGTGGTGTGTTCCTTTGCCAGGTAACATAGAGATCTCAGAGGACAGCTGCAAGCAGTATGAAGTGATGTATTCCCCATCCTGTGAAGCCCCAAGGAATGGTGCAGGAGCTGATGAGGCCTCAGCAAATGGAATTGTCCTGGCAACTGAAGATCTGGGGTACCAAATCTATGAAGTGTCTGGTGAGTGTTGAAGTTCAAATGCTGCTGTCAGTGTCTGTAACCCCCCTGGAGCTGCTCTAAGTGTGGAGTGACCAAGTTAGAGCTCTGACATGTCCATCTGTATCCAAGAAGCTCCAGTATGGCCTCAACACGTGGCCAAAGAGGTGCAAAGTGGGGTCAGAATCATGTTGAGAGTGTGTAGTCTGGGGGTCTCATCTTGGATGAGCTTTTCCCCTTGGTCCTACCCAGAGGGATTAATTCTTGTTTTCTGCAATGAGATGTGTCTTTGCCTGGTCTTGTTGCCAAGAAAGTGGGAGCTGATGGTGGATGTGGTCCCTTTCAGGTGATGGCAGCTCCACTGTGTCCACAGAAGACATCAGAGAATGTTTGAGAAAACAGCTTGAATTCTGCTTCTCTCGGTAGGTGCAGCTTGGTATAAACCCTTTATTAAAATCCTTGGCAAATATCCCTCTTCTTGGCTTGATATGTACCATCATCTTGATAAAAACTCAAACCAAGATTTGCTGATGTGCTGTAGAACCCCGTGGCACCTTCCAGCTGTTTCAGTCCTGTCTGTGCAGCTGTGTCCTTGGATGAGGATGACTCCTGTGCTCCACAGTCATAAGACATTGAGATCATGTACTGTGTGGCACCAGAAGTCTTTTTGGCAGATCCTTTTTGCAGACCAACATGTAGGACACTGGAGCTTCATTAAGTTTTTAAAACTATCTTACTCTTTGTGTTGATTTGCTGGGATTTGTTCCAGGAGAGAAAATCTGAGGGTGTTTTGGTTGTGAATGGTACTGGTGAATATTATTTAAGCCTGTAGTTATCCTCTTGTTTTGAGTTTTCTCAGGTTTCTAAGTTCAGGATCGTTTCTAAATAATGATTTTCTAACTTTTAGAGAGAATCTTTCAAAGGATCTCTACTTGATGTCTCAGATGGACAGTGATCAGTTTGTTCCAATATGGACAATTGCCAACATGGAAGGGATTAAGAAGCTGACAACAGACATGGACCTTATTCTTGAAGTTTTGAGATGTAAGTCTGGGATTTTGGAATCTGTATCAGTAGCAGAAAGAATCCTTCCATGCTTCAGAGGGATGTTGCAGTCTCTGAGCTGGTTATGGTTTGTTGTTCTGGTAAATGGAACTTTACTGAGTAGGAGGCTGTTCCAAACTCCTGAATTCTCAGTCTTTGTTCCAAGTTCCACAAGAGAGTCTGCTACTGCTGAGATGTCCAAATTTTATACTTTATTTTCAGCTTCTCCTATGGTACAAGTGGATGAAAGGGGGGAGAAAGTCAGACCAAACCACAAACGATGTATTATCATTCTCCGTGAGATCCCTGAAACTACACCTATAGAGGTAAATAAAGAGAAAAGAAATAAGTAACTCTTACTGGTTTTGGAAGGTGTTTTCAACAGGGCTTCAGACAGCACCAGGAAAAGGTCAGCTGGTGTTTAATTGGATTAAACACGGATATTTTTCTTCTAGACCACATCAGTAACTTTTTCCACCTGGGTGCAGTATCAAAATATCCAAAACAAAAACTTATTGTCATTATCCCTTCCCATTATTTACTACTATATTTAAACCTTCTAAAGTAAACTTTTTTTGCACCAAAGCTGAGCTAGCTCGGCTTTTCTGGAAGGAAGTTTGAACTGGTTTCTTTTCAGATCCAAAAATAATTCAGTCCAGGGCATAGTTTGGAATTCAGGCTAAATTTTTGTCACAGCAATAACTTTACTTGAAGTCAGACAGTTGTTTTGGCAGCAAGAAATGTTACTAAACATTTCTCGTTCATTGAGCCCCAGCATGAGCTGAGCTCATTATGCCTGAGGAGGGAGAATAATAAAATTCCTCCTGATACTTGGCAAACAGAATGATTTAGTTCTTTGTTTTTTAAAGTTGTAATACATGGGTGTTTGTCTACCAGCATTTTTAATGAGTTCTTTTAATGCAAGCTCTGAGCAGCTGCTTGTCCCTCTCTTTACAATCTGATTATTGCAAAGCTGTTAGGTTGCCTTGACTTAGAAATATTCCATGGAATCATTGTTGTCTCCATGACTGCTGATCTAAAGCCACACTTTTCCTACCTGTTTCCTATGAAAATATCACCAGGTCTACACAGATCTTGATTTTCTTACCAGCTGTGGCTGCTCTGTTTTATCTTGGGAGCCCAGGAGGCTGAAGTAGGATTTGTGGGTTAAGAAGGAGGTAAGGGTAATTTGGTCAGGGGAATAAGAAACATCTCTGGTCATGGCAGAGCAGCAGCTGAGGAGCTGGAGCATAAACTTGGGTCTCTTTAGTGTTCACTGTACAATGGCCCTCAACTTCTCTCCCCAGGAGGTGAAGGCTCTGTTCAAGAATGAGAACTGCCCCAAGGTGATAAGCTGTGAGTTTGCTCACAACAACAACTGGTACGTTACATTCCAGTCCGACACAGACGCGCAACAGGTAAGGCTGCCTTCCTCTGACACCCAGCTTTGGTGCTTCCCCTGCTCAGGGAAAGTGCACTTGTGCTTCCTGTAGCTAAAAGAAATATTTATTTACTGATCCCCTTTTTGTTGTTTTAAGAGATTACTGGCACATTCTGGTTAATGAGACCAAAGGTGCGAGATTGTGGGGTTATAATGCTCTTGCCTTGGTGTTCTCTGGCCATGACTGGCACTAGAATCCTGAATTTGAAGTGTTAATCAATTTAGCTGGGCTGACAGAGAAGCACATGACTGCACATTTGTGTTAAATCATGGAACATCCTTTGGGAAGTACAACTTCATCAAGATATTCTAATGTTGATCTTTTTTCGTTTATGCAGGCATTCAAATATTTAAGGGAAGAAGTGAAAACCTTTCAGGGCAAGCCAGTAATGGTGAGGCTGCTTTACTTGCTGTGTCTGTTGGGATTGCATTGTGTGGTTTCTGTTTGGATGATGGTGGCTGTTTGTGGGGGGTGAACCAAGGACCCAGCAGTGGGGTAGTCCATAACTCTGGCTCTGGAGGCTGAAACGTGAACGAGGTCATGGGGAGCTCTGACAAAGTACAGTTCAGTGGCTGCTGGTTACTCACAGCACTGCTTCCCAGGGGGGGTAAAATACATTCCTGTGCCGGCTTCCCTCTCTACTTGCCCCAGAATCTGGGTTTGCAGAGCTCAGGAGAGGGATTCCTGCCACTGTGAGCCTTGAGTTGGCTGCTGCACAAAGCAGGCTGGAGCAAAGTGCACGCACTGTGAGAGGAGCTGTCATGATTGGAGTCTGGACAGTTCCTGCGTTTATCTTCAGTTTTACAGATCACCCAGCTAAAGCAACGTGTGTCCTTCCCCTTATCATGCTGTGGGAATATGAGCTGGACTGATTTAATCAGTTTTTATTCATAAACAGTAATGAACCTTCAAATCCCTCCAGCAGGCAAGAAAGATTCCACGTTCTCCCTTTCTCCCAGCTGACTCCTGGTGTGATTTGCTGTCTTGCAGGCCAGGATAAAAGCCATCAACACGTTTTTTGCTAAGAATGGTTACCGGGTCGTGGATTCCAGTGTGTATCCCCAGCCTGTGCAGACCCAAGCCCAGTTTGCCTCCCCCCTGTTTATGCAGCCTGTATATAGCCCTCAGCAGTACTCGATTTACAGCATCGTGCCTCAGACGTGGTCTCCAAATCCTGCACCTTACTTTGAGACACCACTGGTGAGTAACAGCTGGGGACAAGGGGAGGAGAAGCCCAGCCCATGGGGGATGATTTGGTTAATAATCACTAGGGTGAGTGGGTGTTCCAGGTTTCTTGGTCAGATCCTTCTGTTTTGTGACGCTTTTGTCACGGCCCTGATAAAGCAACACTGTCAGGGGAGCTGCCAGTCTCACCATTGGCTGCCACGTATTTCAAGGAATTTTGGTGTGAAATTCCATTATCCTGCAGCTTGTGTTACTGGAAGAGCCTATAGCTTTTCCAGGAATGGGGGAACTGCTAAAACAGATGCAGACTGTGAACCTGTGGGGATTTGGCTGGAGTAGTGAATTCACCCCACAGTAGATGCTGTAGCCCAGTGTGAAATTACAGCCATGAGTAACTGCTGAAGCTGATCATTAATCTGCAAACATTCTCTTTGTAGCTCAGCCACTGAGACTGTTGTGTCTGTTGCAGGCCCCGTTTCCCAACGGTGGGTTTGTGAATGGCTTTAATACACCAGGATCATATAAAACAAATGCTGCTTCTCTGAGTATAGGTCGCCCATTCCACAGGAATCGGTAAGAGAGCTCTGCCAGGGGTTTACTCCTGCAAAACTTACACTGCTGAGATCCTCAGGTGTTCCTTGCATGCCACATGCAGTGCTTTCTGATGGGACCACGTTATTTATTTTGTTTTATCAAATGTGTGTTGTTTTTCAACTTTATTGAAAACATGAAGTGGAAGGCAGCAGCTTAAGATCCTAAAATAATGGACACAGTGCTGGAGAGAGCCAGGGTAACTCCTTCAAAAGCCTCAGAGGAATTTTTGCAGACAAATAAATAACTTCCTCCTCAGGTCATACTTGTAATTATGTTTGTTATACACAGATTATAAACTCCTGCAGCACAACATAAGCCTTTCCTGCTGGGATCAGGCTTGTGGAGCTGCTGGTTCCTGCAGTGGGAGTTGCTTGTCCTGACTGCTGCGTCCAACTGCTCGATGCTGGGGCTGTTCCTGTAATTTATTTGCTTTATCCCCATCTTTCCTGAGAGCTGTAAGGACTTAGCTCAGATATAAACACCGGGGAGGAGGAAACACTTTGTATTGCTGGAGCAATTGCTCCGCGAACACAATGGCGTAGTAACCTGTGTGTGGGGGTGGGAGTTGTTTGTGTGCAGCACTGGGCTGGGATCATGGGAATTGCTGTTGGTATTGTTAGAGAAATCAGTCAACAGCTGCCAGGGCTCTGAGTGGGTTTGTGGTGCAGTTCAGGTCTGAGGCTGTTGGCAGAAGGGGAACTTCAGGCTTTGGTCTGTGGTGACTCAGCAGAGTCTTAGCACAGACTGTGGAACTGGGAGTGTGACTGCCTGGAAGATGGAGCAGCTGCTCCAGCTGCAGCTGCTCAGCTCCCAGCTCTCATCTTGACAAAGGGGGTTTGGTTGGGTTTTTTTTTTTTTTTTTTGTTTTTTTTTTTTTTTTTTTTTTTTGCTTTAAGTTGTGCACAATCTTAAAACCTGTAAAGCTCTCAGGTATGTGGACCCTCATGAGGTGTTTTTTTTGGGTTTTTTTTTTTTTTTTTTTTTTTTTTTTTTTTTTTTTTTTTGCTTTAAGTTGTGCACAATCTTAAAACCTGTAAAGCTCTCAGGTATGTGGACCCTCATGGAAGTACAGATGCTTCAACTGTGTGTATCCAAGTGCTAGCCTTGAAATCCCTCCTTGTACATCACATCTGCATACCCCTAAGCTTTTAATATCCTGGTTATGTAAAGGCTTCAGTTGTAAGATTTGAGTGCTTGAGGTTGCAGCTGGAGGGTCCGTGTGTGCAGGTCCTGCTGGCCCAGTGATGATCCAGTATCGCGCTAAGAGAGAACAGGTCACAGTTGGGGGCTGGGCAGCCTGTGCTCCCTGCTTCTCCTTCCTCCTGCTCTTCCTTCCTTCTGCTCTCACATCATTTCTCCTCCTCTCTGCTCTTTTTTTTTCGCTCCTTCATCTTTCCTTGTCTTTTCTGCTTTGCTCTTCTGCCCAGACAAGACTGTGGCCTTCTCGATGACGGGTAAGATTATGAGATCTGAGGGCTGAGCAGTGACTTGAGAATATGCCATTTTAAGAACAACTTGGACAAAATGGAAGAATTCAGTTGACTTTGCTCCACCTCCTCCCTGTGGTTGTTGCTGATGGGAAACTAAAACTTTATTGGGTCCTTAAAACTGGTTCTTGAAGTTGGGAAGTGTGAATTCATCTCTGTTCAGCAAATCTGCTCTTGACCTGCAGAACAGCTTGATTGAAGAGTTCATCCAGCTGCTGCTTTTGGGTTTCTGTCCTGGCCCATTAAACCTGATTTGTTTTGTGGTACAGACAGTTAATAGTTAACCACTGGAGTTTTCTCTGTAGCTAAACATTTGTTTAAGCCACTCGTATTTATTTTGCGCTGATTTGTTGCAACATCCTTGTGGGAAAGGGAGATGGAGGAATTGTACTTTGGCTGGCACTAGGAGAGTTTCTTCTGATTTCATGGAATGTTATAATGAGATTGTTTAAAAACAGCAAGTGTGCAAAATCCTCTTGCTGCCCTTAAATTATGAGATGTGCAGAGTTTACCAAAGGAGAGAGAATTTCTGTTCTTGTCTTTGATCAGTGGCTGCATATGGAAAACTAGTGAGGGGCAAAAGTAGAGAATAGTTGAAAAGACTTAAATGCTGTTCCAGAAAAAATGTTCCATGTTGTGCTGGAGCTGAGCTTTTCTGGAGAATTCTACATTCAAGACCCTGAGCCTGAACTTGCAGCAGCACTGAGAGTGCAGAGCTGTGTCTGTGCTCAAAGGAGCCACAGCTTTAAAGCTGAATAATCAATAAGAGGGTGGAACATTTGGGGGTTGGGAACTGCAGAGTCAGTGCTGGGGGTTTGAGAATGAGCTGTGCATGGTGGAGCTCAGCTAACCTGGCCTGATCTGCCATGTTCAGTCACTCCTGGCCTCCTGTCTCAGTTCAGTTTGTTTGCCTGTGGCCAGATCAGTCTGTTCCTTGGCCTTGGCTTATTTCTCCAGCTCCATTTCCAATGCCCTGTGCCAGTGCTGCAGGCCCAAAGGAAATACTCCTCTTTGGGTTCTTCTGGCTCTTTTGTGACCTCTGGGTTTTGGGATTTTTTTTTAGTTGTTTGAGGTTTTGGGATGGTTTTTTCCCCTCCCGGGTATCTTTTGGGCAACGACCTCAAACAGGAGTTCTGGTGCTTGCTGACCTGCTTTTCCTGTCAGCTGTGAATCAGCTGCAGTTGGTGGTGGCTGTGCTGCGGCTGCTCAGCTCGGGGGTCCCACAGCTCGTGCTCTGTGCCCGCAGGGTGAAGCCCCATTTCCGCTCGTCCGGCAGCTCGGAGCACCCCGAGGGGCCGCCCGGCGCCGGGGCCCTGCCCATGGGGGACCTGAGCAGAACCAGCTCAAGGAACTTTGTCATGGAGCGACACAGCGGCTCGTTGAGCGGGCACCAAGACCAAGGGTATTCCCAGAAGGATTCTCCCGCGGCGCAGCTGGAGCAGAACGGCGATTACGGCGTCGGCAGGGGCAGGTAAAGGGCTCTGTCCTGTGTTTGCTGTCACACAGCAGCTGGGGCTTGGCTTGTGTGAGCCAAAGGTATCAACCATCAGCACAAAATGCATTTCTGTAAGGAGCAGCCGTGAGAAAACTGACACTTAAGTGAATCAGGAGCAGTAAATGCTGACCTGGGAGCAGGAGTGGTTCCAGCTTCACTCTGCAGCTGGTAGTTACTCTGATGAACAGCTGACAGTAAGACAGTGAGGTGTCTTTATTTTAAAGTAACTGATTTGTTCCCAGAATTAAAACAGATGCTGAAGTAGAGTTGGCATCTGTACTGTTGTAAATAATAAGTAAATCCTTGCAGTATTTTAAGATTAATTGTTTTTATCTCTTTTGGCTCAGGGTTTAGACACTTGCAAGGGCAGATCAGTGAGAAATCAGACTAATAAGTTTATGACTATAAAATCATTGTCCCTATGCTTGGTCAGACGCTCATGCAGGGAGTTGAGAAAGAGAAGCTGTTCCTGCAGTGACTTTTCCAACTTCTTCCGAAGTTGGAACTTTGGCCCCTCCTGAGGAGGGGGAACATCCCAGAGCCATGTGTGGGGAAGGCTCAGCAGGCAGCTGTGGATGCCCTCATGCAGGGCAGTGCCCACTGCAGCTGGCTGGATGCACTGAGTGCTCTTCTTGTCTTTAAAGGAGGAACGTGTTCAGGGGTCGGAGGAGACGGGAGGACGACCGTGTTTCGGTAAGTTCTGCTTCCCTTTCTGCAGGGAGTCACACAAAGTACAGAGTGTTGGCTTCCCAGTTATTCAAGGAATGGCAGAGTGCTTAAATCCTCAGATTATGTTGGGGTTTACAGTTTTTCTAGGAAGTTCCCTGACAACTTGCTCAGGGCTTTCACTGCTCTGTGTTATGACTCTAGTAACTTGTGTTTTCCCTTTCCAGAGACCTCAGCCTTCAGCAGAAACAAAGACTCAGACACCAAAGTTTGACTTGCTTGCATCCAATTTCCCACCTTTGCCTGGCAGCACAGCAAAAATTCTGGGAGAGCCTGTGCTGGAGAGCAGGATGTCCGACATCGTTAAAGGAGTCTGCAAAGAGAAGGTGCCTGGTCTTGTCTCTGTACACACATGAGCATATCTGGCTGCTGTGACACCCTTTTCCCTGTTAAAGGGTTGGTTTGTTAAAACCACCTATTCCAGTGGTTTAATCCCAGATTTCATAGTGCATTTTCCCAGTTTTTTTATGGGAATGCAGCTAGGGCTCATGCAGTTATGCTGTTGTAAACTCATTTTAGGAATAAAGCAGGCAAAGGAGGAATGTTGGCTGTTGCAGTAGGAACAGTTTGGTGGAGTGTGGGCAAGGGATCTTTCCAGATGAATTCCTTCTTTGAGCTGGTGGGACTAAGCACTGACATTCTGGATGATCCAGCCTTAATTCTGTTTTTTTCTGCTTCTTTTGCCCATATAAGGAGGTGATGGTCCAAAAGAAGTAAAATTGCTATCATCAGGACTTGAGCAGCCTTTGGGACTACCCCACTTCTCAGATGTCTTGCAGTACCATGTTGTAGAGCAATTTGAGTATTGTTCTGTATTTTGCAATTTCTGCTCTATGTGCAGGAAAGCAAAGACCCCCTGTGCCCCTGCCCTGCTCCTGCTCCGGATGAACAAGCTCCCAGCGCTGCCCAACCGCCCGTGCCCAGCGTGAGCTCCCCGAGCCAGACGGAGCCTGTGGTGCTGAGGTATGCAGAGAGCATGGACACAGCGTGGAATCATGGCGTGTCCTGAATTGGAAGGGACCCACAGGGATCATCAGTCCAACCCCTGGCCCTGCACAGACACCCCCACAATCCCACCCTGAGCATCCCTGGGAGTGTTGTGCAAATGCCCCTGGAGCTCTGGCAGTGTCAGGGCTGTGCCCATTCCCTGGGGGAGCCTGGGCAGTGCCTGATCTTCTCCAGAGGCCACCAGATGGAAAGAGCAGATAATGGTGGGGATGGCTGTGCTGTTCTGTTCTGCAACTGTGACTTCAAAGAAAGGAAATAATCTCTGAAACCTGAGTGTTGGTAGGTTTTAATTTGAATTGTTGTTGGTTTATCAGCACGGTTCAGCCAGAGAGCAAACCAGAAGAAGTGTCTGCTCCAAAGGACGTGGCCAGCCCGGCTTCTCCACCGGCGTCCGTCTGTCCCATCAGCGCTGCAAAGCCACCGAGGACAAACTCCTCCTCACCTTCTGCTCAAGCAAGTGCAGCTCCTGCTCTGTCGACACAGGTAAGGCCAGAATGGGAATGACACAGGCAGCTTGCTGCAGGATGTGCACCTGACGGTGCTCCAGGATGTGCTGACGGTGCACCCGGGCTCCCCTCCGCTCGCTGCGCGTGTTGCCGCTGTTGCGCCGTGGCTTGGTGCCTGGGGTGGGCTGGGAGGTGCTCGTGGTGCGTAAACCTCGCTCTTCTCCTTGCTCCCAAAGGAGCCTCGCAAGCTCAGCTACGCCGAAGTTTGCCAGAAACCCCCGAAGGAGCCGCCTCCAGTCCCAGTCCAGCCTCTGAGGGAGCACCGCGCCAACATCGTTCCCCCTGCCAAAAATGAAGAAAACGGTACGCTGGAGAAAGCTCCGGAGAAGGCTCCTCACGAGAGGGCTCCTCACGAGAGGGCTCCTCACGAAGGCCGAATGAAGGATTACTCCGGCTTCCGCGGCAGCGGGGCTCCCAGGGGAGCTGCTGGGAAAATCAGGGAACAGAGGCGCCAGTTTGGACGCAGATCTTCGCCTCAGGGAGCGCCGCGCCGCGTGGGCAAGGAGCAGTACGTGCCACCCCGGTCACCAAAGTAACGCTGGGCCAGCCAATGATTCTCTGTTTCACTTGAGCTGTGGACTAAAGAGCAGCAGAGAGACTGAGGAGGGAAGGATTCGGGAAGGGGAATACTGAACTGGAGCGTGGCTTGTTTGGAGAAGTTGTGGAGGGTCCCAAAATTCATCTCTAAAAGTGATTTCACAAATGCTGGAGGATTCCAATCACTATAAATATAGAGATTATAATTTTTGTATTTTTGTTTTTAATTTGCAGAGGGTTTCCTGCTTGAGATCAGCTTTGGGATTGTGAAAGTAGCATTTTGACGAAGTGAAAGAATATGAATTGACAAATTAGCCTGTCCCTCGGTGTAGGAGGAAAAGGACAAGAGAATATTATTTTTGGAAAATGAGCATTTCTGTAAAATTAGAACTTTTTGTAACCTATTTAACGTTTGACTTGTGGGCTGGTGTGTCTGCCATGGATGGCCTCTGCAGCAGCATGAGCAGAGTGAGTGCAGCCAGAACTGTTGTCATCACTTAGTCACTGATGATGAAAACTGAATGTACTACTGTAGTGTAACCCATGTGTTTCCAGCTTGAAGTAGAGTCTCTTGACCTTACTAATATTTCATTCAGCAAGCTTTTTAAGGTATAAGTTTTGCAGGATACTGGATTGTAGATGAGAGTGCGTGGACAGCAGAAATTGTCTGGTAGATGCAGTGGAAGGAGGCAAAGGGAGCATGTGAGAATCTTTATAATGCCCTTTTTCCTCGCCTCCTTTTGAGGGCAACTCCTTAGGTTTGGGGTTTTGTTTGTTTGCTTTTTCCCTCTTTTGTTCCTTTCTCTAATTTCTTTATTACAGACTTTAGTGCGTTTTTCTTGGTGTGTTTTCCTGAGGCAGCCCCAGGGTAGGATGGGCAGGTGGCTACACAGCACCTGGTGTTACCTGTACAGGTAAGGAGCCTGGAATTCCTGCTGCAGATGCTGACTTTGCCTTGCAGGTGGGAACTCTGGGCACTCACTGGCATCTCTGGATGACTGGGCAGCAAACCAGAGCTGTGGCTGGGTTTTCTCTGTGCTGACTCTGGAAAAGGCTGTTGGCTGCTGTGTTGCCAGAAATCAGGGTTTAGGCTCCTGGGAACTCGTTGTTTACAGCTGATGTCATAGCAACTGACTCGTTTTTAACTGTTTAAAGTGGAACTAAAGATGCAGAGTTAAGGAAATCCCCTCTGGAGCAGTGGCATTGCCAGCTGTATGCTGACTGAATTTGCAACACTATTGTGCAGTAAGTGGTTAAGTTTCAGGGTGATTAATGACTGAAATAGGAACACTGAGTGCATTAATCTGCCAAAATCAGCATACCAGGGTTCAAAGTTCTGTATAAAGTGTTAGGGAAAAGTAGCTTCCAGCAGTAAGAATCACATCTTTATTTTTTCCTCTTTTTTTTTTTTTTTTTTTTTTTTTTTTTTTTTTTTTTTTTTTTAGTGAATAGCAAGTGTACAAATTTAAAGTTGTAAGTTGTGAACACTGGAAAACTCAATTGTGATATATTCCGTAACCATCTTAGTAATATATGCTCGTGTTGCCATAGAATGAATGTAAGTGGCAGTTAAAATAACTGTGAAATTTTTCATCTTCTGATTTCTTAGCCAGATAACCCTTGGCAACTTGGGCCTCAGTAGGAATTCTCTATCGACTGCTTGGAGAACACTCATATCTATTTTTATAAATATATATATAAAGCCAGAGTTGTCATTTCTCTAACTTATTATTCAGCTTGGCAAGTGCTTTGAGTTGATTCATAACACAATATAATGTATTTATGCAGTTAACTGTTCATTTCTAGGCATGTTACAAAGAGAGAGTCAGAGAATCATCGAATGGGCTGAGTTGGAAGGGACCCATCAGGATCATGGAGTCCAACTCCTGGCCCTGCACAGACACCCCCAAAATCCCACCCTGTGCCTGAGAGTGTTGTCTAAATGCCTCTTGACATCAGACAGGCTTGGAGCTGTGCCCCCTTCCCTGGGGAGCCTCTTCAGTGTCCCACCCCCTCTGGGGAAGGGCCTTTTTGTGATCTCCCACCTCAACCTTCCCCAACTCAGCTTCCTGCCATTTCCTCGGTCCTAAAGGATGTATACATATATATTTAGATATTTGGATATATATATATGTATATATAAGCCCCCAAATCAGTATTCACTTTGAAACTACCTGTACTGGGTTTGGGAGGGTTTGTTTTTTTTTTAATTTAGTGAAAAAAAATCGTTGATCACATCCACAATCCGGGATTCTTATTTGGGAGGGTTTGTTTTTTTTTTTTAATTTAGTGAAAAAAAAATCGTTGATCACATCCACAGTCAGGGATTCTTGCAGACCCTTCTCAGTTTATTTTGATAATGCTACTCTCCTTGGAGCTATAGGGAAGTTTAAATATTTAGTGTCAAAGTCCTGAAAGGCAATGAATGCGAAGTTGAATTAGTTCTAAAGGCTCTAAAGAATTCCTGCAGCCAAACTGGAACAAAACAAGCCTGGAGGGTGGTTCATGGGTGTTTAGGGGACGTTGAGGGAGCGTTGGGCTGTTTGGAGGAGGAATTGAGAGGGAAGGGGCTGGTGCAGATGTGGCTCAGAATTCCCTGACCCAGTGTCAGTGACGTGCTTGTGCTGAGAGGACCTGAGTGGGGAAATGGATCTTTGTCATTGATCAGATGTGGGAAAACCCAACCGACCGTGGCTCCGTCTTCCTCGTGGGGTGGTGGGAAAGGGGTGCTCCACGAGTCCTGGGGTGTTTCCAGCAGCAGCAGGTCGTGGCTCTTGTGCAGGGGATGTAGGTCAGGCTGTAGCTGTTGGCTTTTCCCAGCATATCCAAACTTCTCTCAGCTTAGGGCGCTTGGAATGATTAATTTCACACCTGCGTGCAAGGATTTCACGTGAGCATTTCCCTTCCACCATTTCCAGCTGTGGTTTGGGGTTTGTTTTTTTTTTTTTTTTCCTATTCTTTTCTGTGCAGGGGGAAATTCCCAGTTGGATACAGAGGCTGTGAAGCTGTAGTGGGGTGAGAGTTCTCCTCAGCACTGGGACCTGGCAGGGACTGGCTTTGCCTTTTCCTCTCGTGCTGGGCTGGGGAGGGATCTTGTGTCTGTCCCCAGCAGTTTTACCTGTTGGGGAAACTGGGAGGACTGGGACAGAGAGGAGGTTTGGAGGCAGACCCACAGCTCCTGGATTCACGGGAGCTGCTCCGTCACCGGGCTCCAGGTGCTCTCCAAGAGACCAGAGCTCTCCGTGGTTCCCTCTGGTGCAGCCCCACGGGATAGAAATTGTCCTGCTCTGCTGATGTTAAATACCAGGAGGTGCAAATCACACCTGACTTTCAGTTTTAGGAACTGTGACTTGTTTTCAGAGTTGTTGACTTCTGTTAGGGACAGAAATACACTTCCCAGTTCAGTTCTTTTCCAAATTACTGCGTGTGGAAAAGATCGGGGCGCTCTCTCGTGCTTCTGCTGGGGAGTGAAAAGAAGAAATTCTTTGCATGTGATAGTAAAATTAAAAGTGCAAAAAGTTTTATTTCTTTTGATTTCTAACATTAAGTTAGTTTTATAGTATCTTACATTCCTGCTCTTGTTGTTTTGTTGGTTTTTTTTGTTTTTCTTTGATTAGCCTGGCACAGTATGATGGTGCAGTTTTAGCTGTAGGAAAAAAAAAAAAAAAAAAAGTAACCCACTATTAAGAGAAAGATGATACTGTGGCAGATCAGTAGCAAATAAGTGACTTAATCAATGCTTTACTGTAGTTAAATAGCTATGGCCTTACTACTTTGTCAATATCAGCTTAATTGTCTTGAAACTGTCTGCGATTTTTACTGTTCCCAGGTGAGTTTACCTGGGCTGAGATATCTGGTATGTACAGATGATATTTTAAATTTGTAAAATGCACCATTGTATTACAGATGATGCAACAGAAATGCACTTCGGGGGGAAATGGCTTCTGATGAGTTTTTTTGTAAATCCTTGATTACTACAGATATGCAATAGAGTTTTTGTTTCTAATTTTGATATTTCCTTCTGAAACGTAAGATTGTTGCCATTAATCTGAATGATTTATCATGCTCTTCTTTGCGTGTATATATTCCATATAGTCTGAGCTTCCTTTAGGATGGTACATAATTTTGGGTTGTTGTAGTATTTTAGTTGGCTCTTCTCTTCAGTGCCTTTAGCTCAGGCACTTCAAGAGGTTCATTGAGTCTGTTTTTAATGTACAGTTGGGAGGACTTGAAATGGAGTTAAAGCAACTTATTTCTGAGAAAAAAAAAAATCCATCTGCAAACTAACCTGTAACAACTTTAAAATTTTATATTTAAGAACCAGATGTTTATTTTTATGGAACTTCAGTTATGGATACAGTTTCCAAAAAAAAAAAAAAAAGCAACTTCAAATGTAAACAGACTGTGCATAAATGGGTTTTGTTCTAATTTTTATAGAATACAAAATATTCAGATAATATATTGAGCTCGAGTTACTACAGACATCTTGTTCCTCCCGGATGAATCCAGCTTCCCCTTGGCATTGACGATCTCTCTTCAAAGTGGTAGGAAAGGAGAAAAAAGCGACTTATCTGGCTTTTAGACTGTCTGTTCTGGTTTATTCCTGTTGTCAAAAATGTCCAAAACAAAATTTGTGTAAAGTAGGTTCATGCTTTAAGTGTTCAAATGGTAATACATGTATTTGTATTTGTTTTTGACATTGCCAAGGTGCTATGGGAAATTGAAATAACAGTTAGAAAAATAAAGCTGATTTAAAAGTCAGGAGTAGAACCGGGACTGGGCACGGGAGCGGAATGGGTCGGACTGGGACCAGAACCGGGACCAGAACCAAGACTAGCGATGCGGCCCAGCAGTAGAACCAGGACAGAGAGCAGAACTGGGCCCGGGTCCGGGATCGGGAGCAGAACCAGGACCGGGGATGGGGATCGGGAGCGGGCCCAGGCACCCTTAAACCACAATTCCCTGAGCTCTTGCTTGTGTCCGTGGCGGTTGAAATGGTTTTAGTGCAGGTGGGGTCCTGGGACTGGGGGGGAACGGGGGCAGAACGGGGGCTGGGGCCGGGACTAGGAGCAGAATCGGGACCGGGACCAGGAGCAGAACCGGGGCTCAGGAGTAGAACCGGGACTGGGCACGGGAGCGGAATGGGTCGGACTGGGACCAGAACCGGGACCAGAACCAAGACTAGCGATGCGGCCCAGCAGTAGAACCAGGACAGAGAGTGGAACGGTGGCGGAACTGGGCCCGGGACCGGGATCGGGAGCAGAACCAGGACCGGGGATGGGGATCGGGAGCGGGCCCAGGCCTGGGGCCGGAACCGGGACCTGGACTGGGAGCAGGACCGGGAGTGGGGTCGGTCTCTGGGGAGCCGAACCGGGACCGGGATCGGTGCCAGGGCCGGGGAGAGAACCGGGACCGGAATCGGTGCCAGGACTGGGGGCAGGACCGGGATCGTTGCCAGGGCCAGGAGCAGAACCGGGACCGGAATCGGTGCCAGGACCGGGAGCAGAACCGGGATTGGGGCCGGGGGCAGAACCGAGACCGGGATCGGGCGCAGGACCGGGGCAGAATCGGGACCGGAATCGGTGCCATGACCAGGAGCAGAATCGGGACCGGAATCGGTGCCAGGACCGGGGGCAGAACCGGGACCGGGCTCGGTGCCAGGGCCGGGAGCAGACCCGGCACCGGGACCCGGCTCGGTGCCAGGACCGGGGGCAGAACCGGGACCGGGCTCGGTGCCAGGACCGGGAACAGAACCAGCACCCGGCCGGGCGCGGGGCGGCTGCAGCGCGGGGCGGGGCCGCGCGGGGGCGCAGCGGGCTCCCCCCGCGCCCCGCGGCCGCTGAGCCCCGCCGGACCCGCGCCCGGACCCCGCCCGCCGCCATGGCCGAGCCCGCGGCCGTGTCCTCGCTGCCCCGCGAGGTCCGCGAGCAGCTGGCCGAGCTGGAGCTGGAGCTCTCGGAAGGTGAGCGAGGAGCGCCCGGAGCCCGGCCGGCCCGGCCCTGCCCGCGGGGCGCCGCGGAGCCTCCGTGTGAGGGGCCGGGGGTGGAGGGCTGCGAGAGGGGGTCGGGAGTGGCGGGGGTGCGAGGAGCCAAGCTCCGGGATCTGTGTGGGAGGACCGGGGGAAGAGGGAAGGGCCCGGCCGGGGCTGGGGCTGTGTCTGAGGGGAAGGAGCGCTGGGAGCATCCTCTGTGCGGGGCACCCCCGAGGAGCCCCGGGGAGAAGCCCCGGAGGGGCCTTCACCTGCCGGCGGTGGCTGACCTGACCCCCCTCCCTCCCTCAGGAGTGTTTTTTTTCCTTGTGGCCTCTTTTCCGTAGCTCCCGAGCCCAGGATGCGGAGTGGGAGCGAGAGACCCCGGGACAGGCTGTTCTGGGGCGGGGGAGTCGCAGGAACTTCGGGCACAATAATGACGGCAAACCCTCTGTTATTCCCACTTTCTGAATAAGTTCTTTTGCCATAATTGCTTCAGAGCATGCGCTTTTTTTTTTTTTTTTTTTTTTTTTTTTTTTTTTTTTTTTTTTTTTTTTTTTT